CTCTGCTTGGTGGACTGCAGGTGTCTATCGATAACTACACGTAATGTTTATCGTATTTTAGAAAATGGCAAACTACTGTAATTCACGTGAAATATACTCTGCTTGGTGGACTGCAGGTGTCTATCGATAACTACACGTAATGTTTATCGCAGTCCACCAAGCAGAGTATATTTCACGTGAATTACAGTAGTTTGCCATTTTCTAAAATACGATAAACATTACGTGTAGTTATCGATAGACACCTTCAGTCCACCAAGCAGAGTTTATTTCATGTGAATTACAGTAGTTTGCCATTTTCTAAAATACGATAAACATTACGTGTAGTTATCGATAGACACCTACAGTCCACCAAACAGAGTGTATTTCACGTGAATTACAGTAGTTTGCCATTTTCTAAAATACGATAAACATTACGTGTAGTTATCGATAGACACCTAAAGTCCACCAAGCAGATGCAAACTACGTCAGTTGTTATTCAGTTTCTTCCAGAAAATAAATATTATATGAGATATGTTCTATCGAAGAACGTTACTCACACACTACAAAAGTATAATACACCTACCATCCCTCTTTTCCCACGTATTAAACATGGGTTTATTTTTATTTTATTAATTTCACAAATGGGATGTAAGGGTTTAGTCGAAACCAGACAAAATGAAGCTTATAAAGAGTAAATAAAATAAAATACGTTTTTACTCAATATGTTACTTACGATGGTAAGGAGCACGTTTATATGAGATTATTTTGTCTTAAAACGTATAGATAAAAAAGACGCTTCATCAGTATTACTCAGTGTTAACAATCCAGTTAATCTGAACGATTTAACTTAAAATAAGCTTGGCTCGGAGATTAGAAGGATTAAACACAGTGTTTCAGCAGACTGGTGCTCAGGTTCTAATAAAAAATTCAGACCAATTGCATGTAATCTAGTCACTGATCATTTAAAATGTTAAAACTTGTAAGACTCAGCCCCAAGACAACGATTAAATACATATTTTAAATCTTGAACGGATTAGCATCAAGATCATGATCAAAGAAGCGTTTTAAAGCTTGAAAGATTTGACACCAAGATCACGATCAAACAAAAAATGTTAAAGCTGGGAACTTAGCACCAAGATCATGTTCAAATAAACGTATCTTAAAACTTGGAAGACTTGACACCAAGATCACGATCAAACAAAAAATGGTAAAGCTGGGAACTTAGCACCAAGATCATGTTCAAATAAACGTATCTTAAAACTTGAAAGACTTGACACCAAGATCGCGATCAAACAAAAAATGTTAAAGCTGGGAACTTAGCACCAAGATCATGTTCAAATAAACGTATCTTAAAACTTGAAAGACTTGACACCAAGATCACGATCAAACAAAAAATGGTAAAGCTGGAAACTTAGCACCAAGATCATGTTCAAATAAATGTATTTTAAAACTTGGAAGACTTAGCACCGAGATCGCGATCAAACAAACATTTTAAAACTTGAAGTATCAATGCCAATCAATCATACTGAAATACAAAAGAACGAATATAATAAAGTAAACATACAAAATAGCATACCACACACGCATGTGTTATTTAAGATTGGGCTAACACTTCGACTTGCAAGGTTAACTTACAAATAACTTTTACGCATTGAAAGTTAACAAGTTTAAAACCAGTTTTTAGCATAAGAAACATTCTTCATTATAAGAATATCATTCCGACATCATACTTTGGTTACAATTATTACTTATTATTATTTTAAAATATCATTTCTGTATAATTTGATATATGTGTAATTATTTAGACAGTTTAGAAATTAATCATTTTACTATTCCACTTAACGAATGTTGCATAACATCGAGCCCCCCAGTGGCACAGCGGTATGTCTGCGGACTTACAACGCTAGAAACCGGGTTTCGATACCCGTGGTGGGCAGAGCACGGATAGCCCTTGTGTAGCTTTGTGCATAATTACAAACAAACAAACATAACATCGAATCTATTTACTAATTAATGCAGAATGTTTAAATAATAAAACACCATATGCATTTCATCGAATCGAAACGCTTTCTTGATTTAAGCCATTATGCACCATTATTTAAACCTTCATAGCTTTCTACCATTGAAAACGTATGAAAAAGTGGTTTTGGGACACTTTCAAAGTTGAGGAACAAGAAATTAATCAATTAACGTTCGAAGAAACGTCCATGAACATTATAATTACAGGGCTCCTAGAAAGAAATACATTCAGCTCGTTAGTTTTTTAAGAGTTTCGACATAAATATTCGAATTATTATCATAATATATTAGATGATTTCTTGGGACTTATTACACTGGTAAGGTATTTTGTACTTGGGAATTATGAAAGTCCGATATTTCTCAGAAAATCATGACACAATTTCTATATTTCTTTCTTTGAAATTTATTAAGAAAATTTATATAGAAACATACGACCAAAAGAGTCAAACCAACAAGATATTTTTTGCGAGAGATTACAAGCCTTATCTAGATTTTCAGGTTGAAATTCGTTAATATGTTCTAAGATTCAACGGCTTTTATTTGGCGCCATTTCTATATTTCTTTCTTTGAAGCTTATTAAAAAAATTATATTGAAACATACGACCAAAAGAGTCAAACCAACAAGATTTTTTTGGCGAGAGATTACAAGCCTTATCTAGATCTTCAGGTTGAAATTCTTCAATATATTCTAAGATTCAACGGCTTTTATTTGGCGCTTTGGTGTGTTTGGAACCTCTAATCCATTATTCTCCATATTAATAGCAATAATAAAGCAAATATGAAGCTAATGAGCTAACTATCGTGTAACGCTGTGATTTCACAACGTTTCGCAAATTGAACTAGGCTTTTTTGATGGACACCATTAAGTGGACAATCACATATAGGTCAACAATATCGGTAAATAGTTTTGAACTAGATTCTGAACTAACCTTTTTGATGGACATCACTATTGGTCAGTAAAGTTTCCTCAAGACAGTGGCGCTAACTTCTGGTGGACAGTCAAATATAGGTTGACGGATTGGTAAATATGTTTCTTTAGACTTGGACAAGTTTAAACGGTGTATATAATATTAATCTTACATAGTTCAACTTACTAGTAATATATTATGAAAGGGTTGTTTGTAAATAGTACCTTAGAGCACGAACTACGTTAATTTGATAGCATCCTAACACGACTGATGTAGTTGAATTATTAGAACAAGAAGAACTATTCTATGGA